AAACCAAATCAAAACCAAAACCAAAGTATGGGAGCAAAGAGCTTTTAACTTTAGCAGTGGTCACATGTCAGGATGTGACCTGTCTGTGAGAAGACCCTCCTGCCACTGACATGACATCCCACAGAATGCCAGGTGCCAGGTGTGAAGTGGCAGACCCTAGAGAGGTAAGAAAGCAAAGGGGACATTTCTTCAAAGTTTATTATTGGGACGTCCCAGTGCTGAATTTTAATTTCTTGATGGAGAGGTTGAGGGGGTCAGCTTGTGCACAAGCTCATGTATTTGTTTGGCTGACCAAGGAAATGAATCAGAAAGGAAAAACTGAGCTATACAAGCCATGTTGGAGGGCACAGGATGGAGATCAACTGCCTGAATGTAAATCTTGCTTAGCAGTCATGTGGCTTTGAAGGAGAAACTTAACCTCTCTGTGGTCAAGGATTTTTCTTTTTGAAATTGAAAAAAAAAATAGCATTTTCTAATTAGTGTTAGCAATCCTAGAAGGATTATTTTGAGGATTAAACATTTAGAGCATTTATAATACTTATTTTAGTGTAAAACATTTATAACAGTCCCTAGGACTTAGGAAGGCTCATGATGATGATGATGAAGAAGGGGAGGAGGAGGAGGAAGAAGACAAGGAAGATTTCAGTGTTCCTAAACCATATTACAATTCTACCTGAATAAAGAAATAGCCTGACTCTTACTTTAGGTTTATGGACAAGAGTGGACCTGAACTCTGAGAACCACCCGTTCCTTTTGATGTCTCTCAGAACTGTGCTCCTGAGATAGGACTCACTCACACTTTAATTCAAATCATCTCTTCAGCAACAATTTGGGAAGTAGAAGCTAGGATCCCACACTTATCTGAGAATCTTGTCCTTTGATCCTTAGGCTGAAAATCACACACACAATATCAAACAGACTTCTAAACTCTTCTCCCTATTTTCCGTGAGAAAGACAAAGCTTGATGCTTCCAGTGCTTTGATACTCTAATTTAAGTACACCCACACTCATTCACTGTCTGTGGTAGAGGGGAAGGTGAGGTCAAGAGGGATCAAGGTCACATGCCCAGGTCACAAGAGGAGAACATGGCTCAGTGACCTTGTTTACGTTATAAAGAGCAGCCTCTTGGTGCAAGGTTAGATAAAAGTCTAGATTCTGTCCATATTTTAAGTCATTCCTACCGATATTGATGATGATGATGATGATGATACCTATCTTAATACTTCTAAAAGAGTCATGGTAAAAGGGGGGAAACTTGGGCTTTGGAAATACTTAGAACTGAATTAAAGCTTTGCACTCTGTCTTTGATTCAACAACAGCAAAGAAGACCAAAATTCCTTCCCCACAGGGTTAGAGTAGGAAAATAGGTAAAATATGTGTTTTGTTCTATGTCTGGCATATAGCACTTGTTCTGGAACTATCCATTCCTTTCACTTCTTCCTCTGCATCACAATGTTTCATCAATGTGTTTGGGACACTTAGCTAAGAGGTAGGGATGCAAATATGAATGAGATGGAGTTCCTGTCTTCAAAAGCCTCACAGTCCGCAAGAAAGTCTTGGACACACAATGACACTAGATCGTAACAAGAACTGTCACTGGGGTATCAATATAAAGTGTAAGTGTGTTGGGATCATGAGACAGAAAGATCAATCCTCAACAGAGAGAATCAAGGAACTACCCCTAGGAGGCAATGGTTGCATTGGAATTTGGAGAGAATTTTGCTGGGCTGATCAAAGTATCAAAGAGTGTGGGGCATTTCAGTCAGTCTAGGGGACATGCTGTGTTTGTGGTCATCAAGAGGGCCACCGGGCTTTGCTTGGAATAATTTTCTCTGCTTTGTGTGCTGAGACCCCTGGAGGCCTAAGCACAGTGTCACCCCTCTTCCCCCTCCCTGAATGAGCTGTCCCTCTGAAGAATGCACTGGGAAACCAGGAGAAAGGTGACACTCGGTCAGTCCACAGTGGCTTGTATGCATCTCAAGAAGAAACCACCAGGAAAGAAGGGCCAGGAATAGCAGGACCAATGTGAAATACGAAATGCTTTAAAGGCTTTTGATAAAACAGAGCTCCATGGCACTCCAGAGTGAGCTGGAAGATATCACATACTTGGCTTGGCTTTTTCTGCAATAGCTACATCTAGGTCACTAGCCCCCACCATCTTGGCTAGAGGAGGTCCCTGCATTCCCAGGACAAAGCCCTGGATCCAGGCTGGGAGTACCGAAGTGGGAGGCTTTGTCAGGAGTACCTCAGGACTTCCTTCCAAAGTCAGCCAAAGCCGAACCTCAGCACTGCCCAGCTGCAACAGCTCTTCTCCAGACACACCAGAAGGGTCTCCAAGTGTGTGTGGCTGTGTGCTTGAGTTTAGGTGTGGATGCATATGTATAGCATGTGTCTGTTGTATGTATTCACATATATATGTATATATACATATATACATGCTTGTGAATGCGTGAGTTGTATATAGTATATGGTAGTATATGTTTGTATACCATACATGTGTGTACACATAATGTACAATGTGTGTTGTATACCACATATGTGTATACACAGTGTAAATGGGTGTTGTATGTGCAGTAATGTATGGTATGTATGTATGTGTGAATACTGCACATGGGTTGTATGTCACATGTATGTGCAGCTGTATAAATCATGTGGGACAAGTGGTATGCTTATAGTGTGTGCCTACATACGTGTACATGTATGTTGTGTGCATATGTAAGATATGTGTGTATGTGTGTGGATGAGCAGAAAATGAGGGGCTCAGAGGTCTTCTTCTCAGAACCCAGATCCAAGGAGTTGCTCCATGAAAAAGAAGCCCTCCAGGACAGTGAAAGAAATTCCAGCCTAACACTGTTTCCCTCCTGGTCAGAAACCTGCTGCCCATTTTGCAGACCTGGCTGAACCACTCCTTAGTCATCATCAAAAAGTTTGAGAATTCCTCTCCACACCCAAGTCTTCCCTCCCCAATCTCCTGTCCCTGAAATCTAGTCCTCCACCAGCTTGGATGTCTGTCCTCTCATGGTCAGGATCCTTCTCCACTATTTCACCCATCACATCTGTTATCTAAGAAATGTCTGGAAACTCTTTAACGCCATAGGTAAGAAAGCTCAGAAGGTTACCTGTCCCCAAGAGGTTTAGAAGGTATGTGGAGAGTCCTTGGGTGTATCCTGCATGCCAGGCAGCCATGGGAACAAGATCCCAGCCCTTCCCTCAAATTCTTGACTCAGAGATGAAAACTTCAAGGCCTCATAGAACAGTAGAAAAGGCCAGGGCTTTGAGAATTTGGGTGCTCAGTTCAGCTAGCCATGTCCCAGCTGTGTGACCTTGGGCAAGCCCTTGGCCTCCCTAACCACATTTAGGAAATGGTGCCAGCTGCACCTACTTCTCTCTCATTCAGTATCCCAAGAAAGTTAAGATGGAATATTAAAAAGGCCAAATCAAAAACTCAAAAATGTCCAGGGGCTAGTGGAAGACTTGAGCTCATCATGAGGGAGGGTGACATCTTCCCAACCCATGTAATTGGCTAGAATAATACCTTCTGTCCAGAGAAGTCACACCCTTCTCAACTCCTCCAGGAAGAGCTAGGGTTTACATGACTGAATTCCTCCAGAAAATGGGCTGGAGCACTTCATAAGTTCTTAGAAGCAGAGGGAGGGTTGTCCCACTGAACCCACCCTGCCAGAAACCCAGGAGCTCCTCCCAGCAACTGAGCACACATAGTCCTTTCTAAACACTCATCCAGGCACAAATCAGAAATTTACACTCACCACCAAGGGTACACATACACAGAACATACATCCCACCACTAAGGGCACACATACACAGAACATACATCCCACCACTAAGGGCACACATACACAGGACATGCATCCCATCTTGGGCACTACGATACGCACAACATACATCTCAGCAGCCTCAGTACATCACCCACAGGCAGTTTCACATTCACGAGTTTGGCAGAAATGCCCATTCACATACACATAGTTCACATCCTACACAATCCTCGGGTGACACCGCACCCACACTTGCTCAAAAGCCCACGCTGCACAGCCCGATCTCTCCAGCCCAACTCACATGCCCAGGCGTCCTCACATTTCTCTGCACATTGCCGCCTATAAACACAATGTTTCTAGAACTCTCCATCTCTTTCGCAAGTCTGTACAACCCGCCACGTCTGTGCTGTGCCTCTCCTCCCGCCCGACCAACTCCATCTGAGGCCTCCCGCTCGGTGTGCAGCGGCCACAGTGGCCAGGAATTAAAATGCAGCGAGGAGGAGCCGGGCGCGTCAGCATCGCGTCTCCAGGAGCGCACAGCACTCGCCGCGGTCGCCGCCGCCCCGCCCGCCCGGAGTCGCCGGGCCAGCGAGCTCAGGAGCAGGTGCTCCGAGCCTAGCCGCGCTAGCGTCGCGCGGCCGCTGCCCAAGTTCGCCCGGGGCTGGAGGAGGGCCGGGCCACCGGGAGGCCAGAGCTACCCACGCCGCCGTCCCTGCCACCGCCACCGTGGACTTGGAGTCTCGAGAGACTGGCGCACAGTGCGAGCAGCGAGCTGGGATCAGCAGAGTCCGGATCAGCCCCGGGAGGTGTTGCTGGGGCTCCGCAGTTCCCAGCTCTCGGCGCCGCCGGGGCAGTGAGAAGAGGCAGGGAACAGCAAATCCGGGCTCTTCTGGAAAGGATTTTGGCCAAGGGGAGAAGCGACAGTTCCTTGGGACCAGCGATCTTGAAGGAACCTGGCAGCGAGCAGCTTCCCGCAGGACGCCCTGAGAAGAAGCCCCCCGGCCCCAGGCGACAGTGGACACCCAGCCGGACTGGAGCGCAGGACTTGAGGAAGCCTCGGAGTGTCTCCGCGGATCGCAGCCTGGGCAGCCGTGAGAAGGAGGGGTCCTGGAGGGAAGGGAAGGAGGAAGCCGCGTCTGGGTGACCACTCACCCCAGTACACACCCACCCCTACCCCACCCTCGGAGCCAGGAGCCTCCGAGCGCCTCTGGGGGCGCTCGTTCCTTGGCGCCTTCCCTTCTGTGTCCCAGCACCGCGGGGCTACCTGCCAGACTGGTGGGGTCCCCCGGGTTGTCCAAACCAGGCATGGTGGACCAGTGGCCCCTCTCTCAGGAGCAGCGTAAAAGCTGGGGTTAGGCGAGACAGGGGGGGCTCAGCGCAGGGTCTCCGGTGGTCCAGGACGAGAGGAGGCAGGCGGGCGCAGCGCCCAGGGACTGGACCAGAGCCTCTCAGTGAGGCTCCTCCGGAGGTAGTGCCCGGTGACCAGCATCCTCCTGGAAGACTCGGGGCGGGTAGAGCCTGGGCAGCGCTCGGAAGAGGCCAGAGCCAGCGGCGGGCCGAGGCGGCGCTCAGTCCCGGGCGGGAGCCCGCGGAGGCGGTGGCGGCGGCGACGACGCCAGGAGGGTATGCCGCGCCACCGGAGCTCCTTTCGGGCGCACGCTTCCCTGGCGCCGGCTGCTCTCGGCTGCTGCTGCTCCCTCTGCTGCTGCGGACTCCCATGGCGGCTCCGCCCGGCTGGGGCCGCCGCCGCTGTCGCCAGCCGCGGGCTGAATGAATGAGCCGGAGCAGCGGAGCCCGGCTGCCCGCGGCCGCGCTCACCGGCCCGGGACGCTTCCGTATGGCCCGAGAGCAGCCGGCGCCCGCGGCAGTGGCGGCGGCCGGGCAGTGCCGGAGTGGCGATCGCGCGCTGCAGGGCCCGGGGGTCGCCCGCAGGGGGCGGCCGTCGCTGAGCCGCGCTAAGCTGCACGGGTTGCGGCACATGTGCGCGGGGCGCACGGCGGCGGGAGGCTCTTTCCAGCGGCGGGCGCTGTGGGGGCTGGCCTTCTGTACGTCCCTCGGCTTGCTGCTGTCCTGGTCCTCGAATCGCCTGCTCTACTGGCTCAGCTTCCCGTCCCACACGCGGGTGCATCGCGAGTGGAGCCGCCAGCTGCCGTTCCCCGCCGTCACCGTGTGCAACAACAACCCGCTGCGCTTCCCGCGCCTCTCCAAAGGGGACCTCTACTACGCCGGCCACTGGCTGGGGCTGCTGCTGCCCAACCGCACCGCGCGTCCTCTGGTCAGTGAGCTGTTGCGGGGCGACGAGCCGCGCCGCCAGTGGTTCCGCAAGCTGGCCGACTTCCGCCTCTTCCTGCCGCCGCGCCACTTCGAGGGCATCAGCGCCGCCTTCATGGACCGCCTGGGCCACCAGCTGGAGGACATGTTGCTGTCCTGCAAGTACCGGGGCGAGCTCTGTGGCCCGCACAACTTCTCCTCGGTGAGTTGCCCTCCGCGCGAACCCGCCCGGTCGGACCCGGCACTTCCCCAGAGTCCTAAGGCTCCCAGTTGGGACCCCTGGGGACCTGGACACCAGGCCCCATGGATGTCACCACTCCCTGGCTACATGTCACTGTTCCCCATGCCAAGGCAGAACCCACTTTTGAGTCCCTTGAATCTTCAAATCGTGGGAACTTGGGTTTAGCTGTAGGAAGAGGCACCTTAGGGCAGCGGGGTTCTCCCAGCACCCTTCCTTCCCTGTCAGCTCGCAAATTCCTCATTCTGTTACTGAGGACCCATCTCTGAGTACTTGTTCCACTCCCTCTGACCTCGCCCCAGGTCCGTGAGTCTCGGAACTGCCGCTCTGTGTCTGGGCTGTAAAACTGTCTTAAAGGGGTCTTGTTGTTTTGGGGGGAAACCACTTAGAATCCCTTCAAGGCTGTAGAGTTTTCTAAGTGAGGTTAAGATCCTGAGCAACTTATGGTTTCAGAGTTTCAAAACAGAATCTAGGAGGAAACTCCAAGTACATTAACCAGCACCGAAGCTGTGGACTGTTTGAGGAAAGCGATGGTGGTGCCCCTTCTGCTAGTTTGTTAAAGCACTCCATAAGCTGGGCCTTTCCCTTGCCTGCTTCCTGTATAGTGTGAATATGGGTCTCCCTGGCTGGAAGAATACCTTGCCTGCCCCTGGCAAATCGTTGGGGCAGTGACTTGAATACAAACAGCCGGAATCTGGAGAAACAGGGCTCAAGATTTGTAAGCCATTCACTCTGCTGGATCCCCCATGCTGTGGGTCCCGATATCACAGCTGTCAGGCAGAAGGTATCTGCCTGGTACAGTCTGTCTTGGAGAAACTCTCCTGCCAGGCCCCAGCATGGCACAAGCCTGTCCAGCTGTTCCTGTGTAAATGCCGCTCAGGGGGGCTCCAGGTTTCCCACCAGTGCAGAGAAGGTTGGCATGTATTCCTGGGTAGTAGTCTGATAGATTTCACCAGCCCTGATCCACCACTCCTGTTGGCTTAGTCTCTGGCAAAGCTTTTCCTGGGTGGCAGAGTTGCCACAGTTCCAACAGGTGTTCACATGATGCTGGTCAGGCCAGGTCTCTGATTGGCTGTTTGGGTTATTCTTTGTCTGGGATGCCACCGCACCTTCAGTTTTAACACTACTGGCTTTGCTTTCAGCCTGTGTATACCGTAGCCCCAAATTGTCCCTCCTTTATGCCTTCTTAGTTTTCTGGACTTTTCAGCCAGCCTCTAGAGTGTTTCTTTACCTGGGGCTTCCTACCTTAGTAAGTGGGGAATGCTTTTAACACATGTTCTCAGAGGCTTCTTCCAGAACCTCAGGCATAATCCATAAAGGCCAAAGAATGGGAGCTGCAGCCCTTGTCAGCTGTTCTTGGTTAACCATGGGTGAGCAGCCTCTAGAGTTAGCCTCAAGTTCAAGGTTACATCTAAGTATCAGCTGCAAGTTGCAGGACACAGCCTATCTAATGCAATTCTTATTGAATGTTTGCTTTACAAAGTTTGTGGAACCGCCTTCTGACAGCCAAGATTCACTTCTTATATTAACTCCCCTGAATTAGAAATGAGTTTTATTCCCATTTTAAAAATGAGCAGTCTCATATTCAGAGTCAGCAGGTTCAAAGTCTGACTTTGCATCCCACCAAATGCTTTACACAGAAACATGGAATCCCTCTCTGACTTTTGGCTTAGCTTCTATCAGAGAAGCCCTGGGTAAGACTCTCATCTCCTACCTATCTTGCCCCTCCCCCAAGTCCCAGGTCTCCTAGGAACCAGGAGAAAGGAAAGTGGAGCTCCCAGATGCTCTAAGTGAACAGAGCCTAGCCCACCTTCGCCGAGAACACAATACCTTTGGCATCCACCTGGCTTCGATCTCCGTGGCAGGCAGGGCCATACCCCTGTGTGTCAGGACTAAGAAGCTGAAGACAAAAGGGTCATTCCCACAGAAGCACACCCTTCTCTTAATTTCCTGCACCCTGTTTCTCTGACTCTGTGGAGTTTGCCAGCCACACCCACCAAAACAAAAGTACAGCCTCCATCCCCAAAGGTTTGAGTCCCTGTAACTCAGTGACCCCTAGTAGATTTAGACCGTGCTCTTTCCAGTAACAAGGCACACTGTAGGTTTCTCCAAGGGTCTTTCCATCTTTAGAAGTCAGAAGTTGCTTCAGAGGTGTCCCTGATACCCAACAGACCCCTCAGGACTTTCCTCTAACTGTCCTGCTCTATCTCAAGCCTTTGCTGTCCTTGATGGAGTGGCCTTATACTGCAGAAGGTGAGAACAGGAACTCTCAAGTGGTACTATGGTGTGTGTGTGTGTGTGTGTTTATGTAAAGCTTGGAGGTTTCTTTTGCTCTGGAGCCATTCTTAGCCACTCCTCATCCCCACCATAGATCACCAAAAAGCACCTGGTGCCTGCTCCTATTTCTCCCTCTACTGCCTTGTGCACATCACTGTACCTGTTGAGATGTGCTTGCCTCCTCCTTCAGACCAGGGCAGGAATCACGGTTAATTTCCCTGCTGTCTCCAGGACCCAGCACAGAGCCTGATACATAATAGGTGCCCAGGAGAGGCCTGGGAAATGAGTACCTTCACCAGGGACCTCTGGTATCTTTTATCACCCACAGCAAAACTTGGTTGAATTCCACTAGGGAATGCAGTGCACTGCATTTCCAGTAACAACCCATCAGCCTGTGGGGTGGGGAGCAGGCTACTAAGCACTCACGGTGATTCCCAAATTGGAAGAAGATAGAGCAACAGGTGAAGGATGAGGTTTCAGGGACGACCTTCAGGGAGTATGCCAACTGTCTCCTAGGTAGTCCTGTGGCATGCAAATAAACACCAAAGGGAGAGAAGGCAGCCTGTTGGAGTCATTCTCCAGGCCCATTCTGGGCATGCTCGCTTGTGGCTCTGGGTTTGTTACAGCTGAGCAAGGCTTCATTGCTCAGCAATCGGGCAGAGCAGCTCCTGTGTCTAAAGGTTCTTGTTGTTTCCTTGGCATCAACTGTGAACCTCAGCTCTGCACACTCTGGCTCTTCTGAAGCTCCTGGCAGTGGGGGAAAGTAGTCTGGGCAGGAAGCAAAGCTGTGAAGCAAAGCTATCAAGGCCCTGGGGGCTTCAAAAGGAGAACCGAAAGGCTGGGAAGAAGGACCTAGAGAGGCCAATCCAGGGCAGGATCTACTGCAAGAACAAAGGGCTATAACCTGCTCTAGGAGACAGCCTGCTCCAGGAGGACGTGTCAGGCAGACCTTGGCTTGGGCTTTGGGTCTGCCTCTTCCTAGCAGCGTGCCAGGAACAGTTACTTTGCCTTCTGAGCCTCTAGTAAATAAGTCTTCCTTTTGAGAGCCGTGAAGAAGATAGCTGGGCACAGTGACTGGCACGTGCCTACACAACATCAGTATTCAGAAGCCATTGCCATAAAATGGAGAAAATGCTGGTCACAGTGTCTTGGCATCTGGTGGTAGCAGGTATTAATTATTATCAACATGATCCTCTTAGTTTACCATGCTCGCCTAAGATGAGGAGTGGATATGCTCATTCCTAGTTCAGTCATTGAATCAATTAGGATCAATTATGTGTCAACTCTGTGCTAAGCTCTGTGCTAGCTTCTGGGGGTCTGAAATAAAATAAATTTTCATGCATGTCCTTCAGGAACTTGTAGAGATGTATGAACCAAAGCCTAGAGCACACAGGTGCCGTGTTGGCTCAGGAATACCCAGACTAATTTGGGAGCTTCCAATGGCTTCTTGGAGGAGGGGACATCTGAGCTGAATCTTGAAGACTTAGTAGGAGTTCCAAGGAAGAACAAAAGACAAAAGGGACAGCATAATCAGTGAGACAACACAGAAGGAGCACGAAGCAGGGAGATTGGACAGGTGTCTTCTGGACCCTGGACTAGCTCAAAATAGCTGGAAGGAGGGGAGGCTGAAAGGTTTCCAGGCAATGGTGTGATGGGTACCTGGGGGCCCAACTAAAGTTTTGAATTTTGCAGCAAAAACTCTGATGTGGCTCACTTCTCGCTGTTAGGCTGCAGGAAGAAGACTCCATCTGTGTCCCAACGGCCAGCCTCCACCCTTGTTCCCAACCCCAGGAGGAGTTACTCCCACCTGCACCCCTCTCCTTTTTAACCTTCTCTCTGCAGGAGTTAACCTTGAGTTCAGATTTGGACCATTCATATACACTGAAATCCAAGGGAACAGCATTTAGTTTTATCACAGTTTACCATATCAAGCAAGCCGGCTGCTGTGAGCCAGCAATAGAAAACAAGAAATGATCTCAGTAACATATTGTTTAAAATCAGCAAATTCTGTTGAAATGGTGCTAGGCCCGGCTGGCTGTGAGGATGGATAGCTTTAGAGAGTCAAGAAAAAATACTTTTGCCTTTAGAGAGAGGGGAATAAATGAGCTTCTACATGTAAAGTGCTTAGACCAGTTGCTGGCACCAAGAAAGCATTCAATAAATGGAAGCCGTTTCCATTTTTATTACTTGCAAGAGCATTTTGAGTGAAGGACAAAGGCGAACAGCATCAGTAGCTGCCATGTGCCAGACCGTGGCTGGTATGGTATGTTTTGGGTCATCTTCATAATAACCCTGAACAGTTGTGTGATAATCCATGTTCTACAGATGGAGGAAGTGCCGCAACGAGAGGCTGTGTAATGTGCCTAAAGTTGCAGAGCTAGCAGGGAGCAGGGGCAGGGCCAGGGTCAAATCCACGTTGCCATGACTGCAGGAACACGCTTTCTTTCTGCAGTTGGATGTGGAAGGAGCAGCATTAGGGGGACTCACAGGTTGTCCCATCGGAAGTCCAGTCCAGCCTCAACTCTGCCCTGGCCAGCTGCATGCCTTTGGCCTCAGGACCCTCCTCTGCAATAAGAGGGCATGAGCCAAATGGCTAATGGGACTTAGCAGCAGAGTTCTCCATTCAAGTGGGCACTCAGGGGAAAAGAGGGCTTAAATACTGCAGATGGCTAGAGCTTCTCAGCCAG